TCTTTTTAAAAAGATATGTAAAGTATATTTGACAAATGTGACACTTTAAAGTTTGGCAAGTGCCAAGATTCTGGCTAGATATCACAGAATTTCCTGATGGGTATCAGGATCTTCCCAATCATGTAAGAAATTGTCTTGTTAAGCTGACTGACACACTATTGCTTCTTTTGATTCCCAAGCTGAAATATCAAGGAAATGAAATTTCTTAAGATTCTCCTTTGTTTCTATTGATTACCAATATTGGATTGTGCGTATTAAAAATAAATATGAGAAATGCCTTCATTCTACATCAGTTTAATGCAAACTGGAGGGTTGTGGTTGGGTTTTTTGGGGGGCAAATGCAATTGCTTTTTATTATACTTTAATGGCCTAAAAACGTGCTATTTAGCATATTAAATATATCAACAATTTTGTAAAGGCAGGACAAATAGATACAGTGTCATCGGTATGGTAAACATTTATTCACATTTCATTCTCCAACACACTTTCTCCTTTTCACTTAAATCAGGAAAGGCTGTACAAGTATTTGACATTTGCCTGGATACAGAATGGTTTGAGGACCAACAAACTGAAGTTACACAACTAAAATAAAATATAAACAAATGGTTCTTAGGCCTAAGAATGAGAAAAGTACATATTGAGTTCCTCGGGGGGAGGGGGAGGGCAATGGCATATGGGCTCTTCGAAAGCAAAGTACACCTTATCATTTGTATTTGTAGTGTGGTCAAATAGCATGACAACTGTTGCCATCACATGATACACTCTATTGCCAAAAGTATTCGCTCACCTGCTTTTACTTGCATATGAACTTACATTGGCTCCCAATAGATGTTCAGGTGCAATTCAAGTTTCATGGTTATTGCCTTTAAAGCTTTAGATACCATAGAACCGAGCTATTTGCAGGACTTACCTGCTCCCCTCAACCTCTGCCTGCCCCATGCCTTCCCATATGGACATGCCCTGTGCTCCAGATCTCTGCTGATTGATGTCTAATGGATATTGTTACAAATTATCTACCCAATACTCATATTAATACAGAGCAGATAAATAAAAATCAGTCTGATAAAATCCAGACTAACTATAATTAGCACAAAGAATAATGAAAAAAGTCATTAATTTGGAGAAGTCACGTTATAACTGTTATGCATCTGTAGGATAATAAAAATGAATGAAGCATGGAGAAGACTAAGGAAATATCTAGCCACATTATGGACACTAATGCAGTGTCAGTGACTCAACAATGAATCCAAAGGGGGAAAAAAAATACTAACAGCAATTCAGTCGGGAAGACATAATCACAGGTTAAATACTGTAAGTTCACATGCGAGTAAAGACAGGTGAGTGAATACTTTTGGCAATATAGTGTAGCTTAGGTTGCCTTTTTTATATGCTCATTGTAAAGTAGTGAAAAAACAGCTTTGTGGGAAGGAACAAGTCAAACATTTCTACAATTTCCTTTCTTGCTACTAAATAGAAAGAAGTTCTGCAAAGAGGTAGTCCCGTTTCCAGACCATTTCCACCAGTAATAAATATAAAACCAGTAGGTGAGAAAACATAATTTCCACCACGACTGGAATCCTCATCTACTATATATAAAGTAGCTTGAGCGAAAACAGTGCGGTGAGGAAGAAACTGAGCTAGATAAATACATTGGCAAGTGCGTTCTGTGTCACGTGAGTTAAAGATTGCAATACTACGTAGGACATAACCTAAAAAAAGACATGTTGAGTTTCAACAGTCCTTTCACAGAAGAGTAGTTATCTTGCATTTTTGTTTCTAATTACAGCCATTCAAACAGGTTTACAATTATGATGCTTAAAACTTAAAAAATTCAGAGTTGCCAAGGAAACCTTGATCAATGCACTGAACAATGTACAATCATGTACAATCACTGGCTGCTTCTTCTGAGAAATAAAGCTTTTTTTTTTTCCTTTGGGCCATTCTGAGGCACCACTAATAATCTCCCTCAGGAAATAAATATTTTCTTTGTAAAGAACTTTTTTATATACTTCAAATCAAAAGAACTGCCATTGCATAATCTTGTAAATTCTCAGAAACTCAGCCATTATTAATCTATATATTAACATGCACTTTCAATGGAAAAGAATACACCGGATTTTGATATAGTATCTATA